CCTGTTGGGCGGCCTCTTGCAGTTCTTGGGTTCTATCTCCTTGGATCTGTTGTAGAGGTAGTTGGAGATCTCGAGTTCGCGCTCTCCCTCGAAAGGCTGAAGCGTCTCCAGGAAGCGCTGCGGAGGGAGGGAGAAAGCACGAGGATTAGCTTGAGGGTCAGTGCGACTAGACTAATAATAATAATAATAATAATAATAATAATAATAAAAATAATAATAATGATGATGATGGTGATGATGACTAACTAATAATAATACTGAATAATAATAATAATAATAATAATAATAATAATAATAAATGTAATAATAATGACTTACTAATAATAATACTGAAAAGTATTCCTGAAAAAAAAACTTTTTAGAGGGAAAAAGTCGAAAGATTACAGCATCGATGCATCATCTTTATTGTCTCTCTAGTTTTGGTTCACATCGGCGAATTATCACAATATGATACACAAAGCAATGATTGGTAATTCGTCAAAACTAGTACACATGTACACAAACGCAACCAAAAAGCAGACACCGCACAATCAATCAATCACACACACACACACACACACACACACACACACACACACACACACACACACACACACACACACACACACACAAAATCACCAGCACCAAAATGCACACGTGTATCCACTCCTCTCTAAAACAGACAGCAGTGGGGAAAAAAAGTGCAAACCGTCTTCGTAATGGTATTCTCAAGCCTTATGACGTGCAAGTCGTTCCAGGTCTCAACTTCCGCCGAGACACGTTACTTGTCTCGCTCGCTTCGTTGTCTCCCAGGGAAAAGGCCGAAGAAGTTCGGAGCCTCTTTCCTCCTCCTCCTGCTCCACTTTCCTCCTCCTCCTCTTCCTCCTTCTACTACTCTTGCTGCTCTTCTTCTTCTTCTTCTTCTTCTTCTTCTTCTTCTTCTTCTTCTTCTTCTTCTTCTTCTTCTTCTTCTTCTTCTTCTTCTTCTTCTTCTTCCTCCTCCTCCTCCGTATCCTCCTCCGTATCCTCCTCCTTATCCTCCTCCTTATCGTCCACCTCTTTCCTCCTCATCCTCATCCTCTTCTTGTTCTTGTATTTGTTCTTATTCTTGTTCTTCCTCCTCCTCCTCCCTTCTGGTTTCCCCTTCCTTCTTCACTTTTTGAGTGGGAGACGCGTAGCTACAGCCCAGTGGTGGTTGCGACGCGTCCATTTCCGCCAACGTGTCACACAAGGAAAATTTTTATCCGTATCGACATTAACCATCCGCCAACTTGACAGATTATTCACGATGAAGCGTCGGCATAGTCTTCTGATAAGAGCGACCTCATCGGCAACCGTGTGTGACTATCTGTTATCAACGGACCATTCGTGAACGCGCGATCTGATCGGCGGCCCTCTGTCCTTGCGATCCGATCGACGAGACAGTAACAAACTCGAACACCGTGATCTTCTCGGCCAGTCGCCCCGCCACGTACCCGAGACGTCGCTCTCGGGTACACCGCGGGAAGGCCGGGAATCGGGGAGGCCGCGTGTGATAGCTACGCACGTGTGATGTACATCGATTATGCTTCCTCGTTCTGGTAACGGCGCAGTACATCCTTCATTCTTTTCTTTCTCTCTCTCTCTCTCTCTCTCTCTCTCTCTCTCTCTCTCTCTCTCTCTCTCTCTCTCTCTCTCTCTCTCTCTCTCTCTCTCTCTCTCTCTCTCTCTTTTCCTTTATTTTGTCTCAGACTTTCTTTCCCTATGTCGGTTGTCTTGGCACTTCTTTACGTCTTTCTATTCCCTTTAAGGCTCTGATCTGAAAATGTCTCCTGTTTCATAATCCCTCTCTCATTCTTTAAATCCACCTCATTCTTTCTCTCTCATTTTTTCCCTTATTCTCCCTTTCTCTCTCACTCTCATCCAGAATGTCAAAACAGGTCTCCAGAATTAGTGAAATGTGGCGTTGCTTCACCCTAGACTTTTGCGTCGCGGTTACAAAATCCTACAAAGCATGCGATGTAAAAGCCAGGTGTGAGATCTCCATCTTGGTAATATCGCATTGATGGCGACGATGACAACATAATCGTAGTTGCAAAAACAGTCACCCTTGATAATAAAACAATAGCAAAATTAACAAGGTAGTAATTAACGATGAAATTAATTAGTATAAAACAGTAACAAAAATCATGATAATAATAAATAACAATATAGCATATAATAATAAATTAATAAATAATTGTATCTGTAATAAATAAAAACAACAACAACAACAACAACAACAACAATTATCATCATCATCATCATCATCATCATCATCATCATCATCATTATTATGATGATGATCATGATAATAATGATCATCATCATAATTCATGATAATAATGATCATGATAATAATGATCATGATAATAATTCATGATAATAATGATCATGATAATAATTCATGATAATAATGATCATGATAATAATGATCATGATAATAATTCATGATAATAATGATCATGATAATAATGATCATGAAAATGATGATCATAATGACGACTAAAATAATAATAATAATTATTCCTAAGGTCTTAACCATCGGCAATGGTATTCCTCAGCTACTCAGAGAAAGAACCGACTTCCTTATAAAGTCAACGACTATGGGATTAGCAAGGTCTCTTTATCACTCATTTCTCAAATAATACGATCGTAATATCAAATGAAAAAAAACGAACAAGTAAAGCAGGACAACATTTTGTATTGCACATAATAAATACGGATATAATTACTAAAGAGATCTTATTCGTAGTTTGCTATCTAAACAGGAAAAAAAGGTAAACATACCGAAACACATCACAGGAACAGCAAGGGTAGGTAACGAAAAAATAATTTTAAAATGCAACATAGCGGATGAATAACGAAAATAGTATTCAATGCAACCCGGAAAAATATCGACGTAACGTTTAGAATAATGCGTGTTAACATCAAGTATTACTTAAAATACTGCGAATACATAACGACGAAACGAAACCAAACCAAACGAAAAAAAAAAAAAAAAAAAAACGAAACAGCGCGGATAAACAAAGGTGGTATTTCAAACGCCGCGGATAAATATTCGAATTGCGCTTATGAATAACATGTCTACGAAACAACTCGATCAAAGAAACAAAATCCTTCTTGATAATATTCTAATAACGGAGGATTTTTTTTTTTTTTAATAACGATCTCACTCACCAACTGTTTTGAAAACTAGTCATTATAAATAGTATCACTGACAGGACGCACATACCATAATTTGTCACTCTATTCGCATTTAACTGCGGTATTTGTTGATTTCCGCTGCAGAGAACTTTCGTGTTGAAAAAATAAAAATAAATAAATAAATAAAAATAAAGATAAAATATGCGGAAGGCGACATAAAGTAATCAGTAGCTTTTATACGAGATGAGCCTCCAAGTTGAGAGTAAAAATAGTACAAGAACACGCCATATCCTGCTATAACCCCTCCCCCTCCCCCCTCCCCCGCCCTCGCCTGGTACAAGAGCGTGCACCTGCAGGAAAGGGAAGCCCCCGCCGACACCTCCAGGAAAAAAAGATCTGACGGGCTGGCGACGGAAGCGGATGCCAGCAGGATCGGCCGCAAATAGACGCAGCGCAGAACAATTCGTTGCCGAAGCGCTTCCACCCGACGGAAATTCGATCTCGCCTTTTCCTCATTCTCGAAAAATTCCCAGTTTCCGCTTTTCGACCTTTCTTGCTTTTCTCCTTATCTCCTTTTTTCCTTTTCCTTCCCATGTCTTCTTTCGTCTAAAATCACGCCTTCGTCGACAATAGCGTGGCGTGGGCCCCACACCCATCCACCCTTTCCCCTGGCTGACGTAGCACGCAAGCCAACATGCCGGCTCAACGCTGTGTCTGAGGAGGCGTTCAAGTCACCGCGGTTGTGCTTGGAAGGCAAGTCTAGCGCGCTGTGCATGATAAAAAGTAGGGAAAAGCGGGGAAACAAAGATCAGATAAAGGAAAGGGGAAAGAAAAATAAGGAAAGGAAAAAAAAACAGAACGAGGATAAAAAAAAAACAAAAAACACGAAACAAAAAGGGAACTGCTTAAGATATAACAGGTCAAAAATAAGAAAGAAAAAGTTGCAAAGAGAAAACGTAAAAGGAGAATGGGAAATAACAAGAAAGAGTGGACGAATGAGGGAAAAATGGACGATGGAAAATAGGAGAGAAGAATAGATGATGACGAAGTATGGGAATAAAAAAAAGGGAGTGAAAAAAGAAGAAAAAAACAAGGAAGGAAGGAATGAAGAGATCGACGATAAGATATTTAGGAAAAAAATAAAAAGCGAGAGAGAAAACACAACAAAAAATAGAGGGAATGGGGCAAATGACAAACGTAAACAAAAACGCAAAGAAACGATAAAGAGCAAGAAATCGGAATGAGAAGACAGACAAAAAGGGGAAGACGGAATAACATAGAGAAAAATAATCAGCATGCACCGCAATCTTTCCTAATATATACGCATATATAATTAGACTCCAAAGGGAATAACAAAATGCAAAATCCTAATCAGTGACTTTGATTTTTCAAGATCACTCTTCGTAGACCTTCAGCAAATTCCCGCGACGTGAAATCTACGGGTTTTGAACGCCACCTTTGGGCCGCCTCGCTGACTGGGCTAGCACTTCACAAACTGAGTTGGCAGGAATACTCATGGCCACCGAATTTCTATTGAATCAGGGCTCAGGGGTCATTTTCTGTGATTCACAGAGTGCTCTCCAGGCTCTGAACACTCTAGACAAAGGTGCGGGAAATATTGCAAATGACATCAGGATAAACGTGTATCGTGCAAAAGAACGAGGCCATAATATACGTTTTGTGTGGATCCCATCGCATGTTGGAATCCCCAGGCATGATCATGCTGATCGCCTAGCAAAGTCAGCATGTGACAAACAAAGTGTGGATATAGATCTTGGGTTACCTCTTTCTAGGATTTTATACATCATCAAAGCTTCCTTCAAAGAGGACTTGACTGAATTAATTAATTCTCAACGCCCCGAAAGCTGTAGCATAAAGCACTATGACCGGTTTAGACAAGATTCATTCATCTATGGTTTATATAAAACAAGAACAAGACAGTGTGATGTTGTGACTGCAAGAATCAGGCTTGG